AGAAAGAGGAAGTTGTAATCAAGGAAAAAAGAGTAAGCATCCCTGATTTTGGCTTCTTCCACCTTGAACTACCACCAAGAGGTTCTGTAATAGTTTCTATGGCAAAACTCTTTCAAGTACATCCTTCAGTTTCAAGGAAGAAATCAAAACAAAGAATTTTTGCCACCTGTCTTCCTCTATGGCTGGTAGTAAACCATTCATAAGAAATACTGTTAGTCATTTCCTTAATGCATTGTAGACACCATAACCAAAATTACAGATCATTTCACTTTCAGAAAACAAAAGTAGCACTTAAAGTCAGGGATAAAGCCCTTCAGTGCAAGCATCCCTGGAAAGGTGAGGTCAACATTGTAGAATACAAACTACTACTGATTTATCTGACTTCAGGAAAGAGAAAAATTTATAATGATATTGCTATAGAGTAATGAATCTCCCGGTCTAATATGTCTGGTATGAGTTTGTGTTCTCTAAAGTCAAAGAATGAATTTTAGGAACAACAGAAATTAAGAGCACAATATACTTCTTGAGAGAAAGAAAGCTACCTGAGAGAGAGAAGGGGTCCTGAGCGGGATGCCAAATACTGTCTTTCTAGGGAAATTTATAGAGTAAAATCATGTGGTAAGATGAGTTTAAGGTGGGGAAAAATCGGAACTCACAATGCAGATGGGCATAAGATGGGACAGAGCTATGGTAGCCAATAAGATTATAAGTTCATGTAAAGTTGATTAAATTGGGAACAAAGGGGAAGGGAGTCACATAGGAAGTAGGCATTCCTAGGCAGCAGTGACTTTTCCCTTAGGGTTTTGGGAGGGTGACACCTGAGTTCATCAGGATGATAGGAGATATTTAAAATGTCAGTCCTTAGAATAAGCATACTTTTCTTTGAATGGTGACTCCTGACCTCCTCAGAGTGCTAAGGCACTATTTAGAATATCAGTCTTTAGGATATGGATGAATTTGCTTATCATTTGTCTTGAGACTAGGCCAATAGCATGAGGTGTCAGTCTTCCCCATCATTGCACGGTATCTTGTCTCCTGCATGGACTCCTTGGAGGACCTAGCCCTGCCTTATGCCAATACTATTTAAATAAATCAGGTGCCTGTAACAGTACTGTTTGGATAATTGATTACAGATGTCTTGTGCTCTGGGTGAATGATCTGGGGATTACAGTGTGCAATGTATATTCAAGTGTCGCCCCCGATTGACATGTTTTGAAATTTAATTTTAGTTGATGTGTTCTTTTTTCATTGAAATAAAATGGATTTGAAAATTAAAAGACTGAGGTAAAGCTCTTCAGTACAAACACTCCTCTGGTTGAGCTGAGTTCACCACTGTAGAAGAACGGCAGCTCCAGAAGTCTCTGCACTACAGTCTATCTTTTGAGATCCTCTCTTGCAGGGAGGGGTTCCTTTCCCTGTTGATTCTTGACTCAGAAGGAGAGCAGTAGAGCAGGAGTCAATCAGTGATGAAGGGGCTGGCTATATGAAGTGTCCAATTTTCAGGCTATTGCTGGCTGTGACTTTTGTCTCTTCCAGTGTCTCAGCATGATTTACCTTTTCTGAGTAGGATACTGGTAGCCAAATGCTTGCTGCATCTCATTTAGTACTTTTGATGTCCTGTGGCCTGATTAGCAAAGAACCTGAGAGATCCTGGAGCCATGGAATGGCAAGGTTGTGGATGGGAGGCCAGAGATAGGGTGGATTGGGTGAAACCAGTTACAAGTATTTAGAAGTAATTCCGGTGTCTGGAGCCTCAGGTATTTAGTTAGCTTCAGCTCCTGAGGTCCTCCAGCAAGTCCATGGGTCATTCACTGTCCCTTTTGCCTCTTGCTGGTGTCAAGGGTGATTTGGGGTCCCCAGAACCCTGGCTTCACTATGACAGCAGCAGACTCAAGTATCATCTTTGAAATTCACTGCTGGCCTGGTAACTCCACAATCTTAGGCATTGGAAGGAGCTTGAGAAGACCCTGACTATGATACTTTTTGTAGCTTGTAGAGCAGTAATGAGCTAGGTCTCTGCTCTCTTTCCTTAGAGTAGCAGATCTGGAATGTCCAAAGTTTATTAATGTCTGTAATGCAGGGCCTCATAGCCACAATGGCTCAACTTAAACTTGGGCTTTTTTGTATTTATAGCGATCTCCTCAATTTATAGTATGTTCTCATATTTCCATCCTCATGACAGGTAGTGGCAAAGGTCCTGAGAATCCAGAGATGTGTAGTATTGTGCCTCAGTGGAAAAAGGCTTCCCAAACAACTCATGCACTCCTGTGTATTATACAGATCAGTGCAAAATAATTTCTGAACATACTTAATTATTTATGTGGCACGCCTGCTCACAGACTAGGTTTGTGAGAACAGCCATAGGGTTTTGAAGTCTGAGAAAAATGAAGCAAATATGAAAGTGTTACCAAGGACGGGGTAAAAATTTGTGAGGGACAAATTCCTGAAAGGGCTACCTGTTAAATTCTCATTGAAAAATGCTGAAATTTAGGCATTTGCATGGACATATACACGTGATATCCTTCTGAGTGGAAAGGAATAGGTGTGTGATCTCTGAATTAAGAGCTGATTTAGTGGCTTGGTTGTTCATAGACAGTTTAAATATGGAAATGCTCTGCAATGGAATTTACTAAGTGGTGTAAGGAGAAGCTCTAAACAGAAATTTTGCAGTGATATCAATAGTTAGGCATTAAGGGTTTCCTGCAGAGGATGGATCAGAGGAGCGTGGAAAGGATGTGCAAGTGACTGACAGAATGCAGGAAGCCAATAGCAGGACATGCAACAGAGAGGGTCTTCACTGAAATTCAGGTAGTTCTTAGAGTAAGTGTGAAGTTAAAGTTGGGTTCTGATTGCTTCCTTGAGGTGATCAAAACCAGCTCTGGCAACAATCAGTATTTCACATCCTTGTCAACCCATGAATTTTCTGTTCCATACTTGAGATCTAACTTGGATTATGTCTAATTATGCCCCAGTGTCATGAAGGTAAAATGTGGATTTTTTTGTACCAAGGATCGAACTCATGACCTATGCTTTCCAGGCAGGCGTTCATGCCACTGAGCTAAATACCCAACTATGCAAGTGTTTTCTTTGTTGTATGGCAGATATCCACATTGTTTCTCAGAAAGTGTGAATATTGTTGGAATTTTTCCATATTGTATGGCTATAATTTTTAAAAAGAAACCACAGGTGTCTTATGCAGTCTCTTTTCAAGTTTCACTTTGTCTGTGGGGTGTCACAGTCACGGTTTCTCTATGTTAGACAGCTCTGTAACTTAGGATAGCCCCAAATTCAAGGAAGAAGTCCTTCACCAGCCTCACAGGACATATTTCTTATATGTGAATTGAAAGTGAACGCTTGGTGACAGTGAGCTATAAATTACAGCTTGGGCCTCGTTCCATTTTATATAGTTATTTTTTAAAAACAGCATTTTTCACTAACATTTGAGTTATTATTTGTGTACTATATTGGATGGTATTTATGTTTTGTTCTAGGAAACCAAATTCATGTTTCAAAATGTGGTGAAGTATATTAAGAACAAAGTATTCACTGGCCTAAATGAGATTTGAAGAGACATTATCTATAGCCTATCAAAGTGATTGATGAGATTTTTTTTTCTTTTTTTAAATTTTGAACGTGATAAAATACAACAGAACAAGGCAGAATAAGGCCAACTAAGATCATACAGTGAAAATGGTACACAACTTCACAACTGGTTACTGCGATAACAGTAATAGGTATCACAGTATACTTTATTATCTTTATAATAGTTGTTCTTTTTTTTTTTTTTTTTGTCTTTTTCCTTTTTATCGGTACCGGGGATCGAACCCACGACTGTCTGCTTGCAAGGCAGGTGCTTATGCCACTGAGCTAAATCCCCAGCCCCAATAGTTGTTCTTTCAAACACGTATATCAAAATGAGATGAAATACAGAACATTATAGTACTTATCAAAACAGAATATTGAATAGAGCAATACCATTAATCAGAATAGAGCAAAACAGTAATAAAAATATTTGCCTCCAAAGAGATAGTAGAAGGAAGGCCCCCTTATTTGTTATGGTCTGCTTCCCAGGAGACGCTCAGATTTCTGGTTCCCATTTGCTAATGGGGGGGGGGGATCGGGGTGACAGGAGAAAAAGGGTAGGGAAGTGGGATGTTTGATTCTAGGCCGTACATCAGTAGGTTCACTACTGCTTAGTAGGGAGACAGGCCGGTTGTTTGATTTCCCAGCGTCCTAAGTTCCCACATGGCGTGGATCTCAGGAGCTGCTGCTGGTTCTCCCCCTGGAAGGGCCGCATTCTGCGAGACCGCCACCGCTTACAATGGAGAAGTGATGCTTGCTTGCCTTCCAAGTGTCCTAAATTCCAGCATGGCATCGATCTCAGGAGCTGCTGCTGGTTTCCCCCTGGATAGGCCACAGTCTGGCACATCATCACCACTTACCAGGGAAGGGAGGTGCTTGTTTGGCTTCCCATTTGATTGAGGGGATATTTATCTGCCTCTGTGCTTTGTGGATGCTGGTCCAACAGGCTTCTCACTGTGAGCTCTGCTTTAGAGACAGTACACAGGGAATATTGCAGTGACTCAGCACAAGAATCAGTGCTCCTATTTCACTCTTACATTAGCAGTGAGTTGCAATCTATCATCAAATTTGCTGTCTTCAAAAATGTGCATATACACAAAATTAATGACCAAGACATGGATTTAAATTTGAAGAAATCAGTTTTCATTCAGCTGTTTTGTTTGGTTGTATTTGTTTAGTTTTGTTTTGTTTTATTGAGACAAGCTTTCTGTATGTATATCAGCTGGATTTGAACACCCTGTGGAGCATAGAATTGCCCTGAACTCACTGAAACGATCCTGCCTCAGCATTTTGAGTGCTGGAATTATAGATATATACCACCACACTTTGCTTTTGGTTCAGATTTGTAGGAGAGAATTTAAGATTTCCCAAACCTGGTGTCTCAACCTTCGAGTGAGAAATATATGTATGATGTTTAGGAGGTGGTAACCTTGGAGGATGTGGTTGTGAACTTCAGCAATGAGGAGTGGACTTTGCTGAGTGTATCCCAAAAGAACCTCTACAGAGATGTGATGGGCGAAACCTTTAGGAACATGACTGCAATAGGTAAGGACAAAATACTTTTGTCATTCATGCTGTCAGAATATTGTATATTGCTCATCAGTGCTGTTTCATTAAAAACAATGTGAAAATATTTTTAAAAATAGCTCAGACCTGGACACATTAAATTATAACTCTAAACAAAATCTATTAATTTGTGTATATTATTCTAATGGGTGCTGGTATTTGTATGTCTACAATTCAGGAGGACTTGGGGATATCCAGGAAGCTGAAAAAGAATGCAAAATTTACTGGAGATACTTAAGGTAATTCACGCTCATACGGAGAAGTAATGTTCCTGAGTAATTAGTGAGTCAGCAGAAAAATGACCGCCAAAGAAATGAGGCACCATTCAATTTATTGTCAATAATATTCTCCGAAGATTTATAAGCTAGGGTATGTATAATGAGTGAATTAAATCATGAAAATGTATGTCATTGCATACAGATGTGTACAAAAGGCATACACTTTGAGTTATAACATTCTCCCTTCAGTTTTTCTACCAATATATGCATGTGAATACAACACATTCATTATCTAAAAATTACTAAGATTGCAATAGAATTTAAAAAAAAACAGAGTGCTCATGTTTCCAAGCCATGCTCTAAAGAATCAACCATTCTGACTAAAATTCTTAGAAAGCTGGTGGAATGTTAAGTGCACTCATTCTGAATATCAGTGTGCAGTTGTCTCTAGAAATTGATCCCCTCATACTTGTCCTGGATATATTTTTAAAAATTCAAAATCCGCATAAAATACTGATACATGCTTGCTCATATACAAAGCAGATCAAGTTATAATAGATCAGGCCTTGAAGAAGCTTAGCTATCTATCACTGGATTTGTGGAGAAGGAAAATGTTAATAGAGTCTCTGTGATTGTGCATTCTTGTAAATCAAGCACACTAGGAATCAGATTTTGCAGAATGGCAAATTCTAGTTCAAACATCACAGCTTAATGATCAGCAAAAATGTCTTAAAACAGATTTAAAAAGCTATAGATTTTATGCTAATAGCTTTTGTTCATTCCCAACATGGAAAAGAAAAAAATGTGTTATATAACATCAAAAAATAAATAATATAATGTCATTTGCCATAAGAAATAGTTGGTTCTTTCTCCCATCAATTCGGTGAAATAGCTCAGCTATAAAACCTAAAAGGTCACAGGATTTCTTTTAGATGAGAAACCAAAATATAAATTGTGGAATGAAATGAAAGAAAGTTAATAGAGAAAAGTAAGACTGACCATATGGAAAAGGGAACTACAGATTAAGCACAGAAGGGAGATTGTGATGGGGAAACATATCAGAATGATCTGTATGGGATACACATATGTACCCTTGCCCAAAGTGAAGCTAAAGATTCTGCATTTCAAAAGGTACCAAATTTTAAGATTTCCAAATGTGTAGCATCCTTTTGGGAATGGTTGTTTTCAACATGTCTTACAAGGCCATTCTGTTGCTTCATGGTCAGAATTTCTTAGCAGGCCTTAAAAACAGAACTTGACATTAATGCACTCATTAAACTGAGACCCATTTCACTGTGAATGTTTCTTATTTTTTTATTTAATGTAAGGAAAGACTAAAAAAAAAGTAAGTAGAAATGATACCACTTTCAAAGTGAAAATAAACAGTAAAAAATCTAAAGACAGTGATTACATATGCTGCTCAGACAAATAGTTAATGAAATACAAAAGTGAAACATATGAAGTGGGGATTCAAACAGCGAGACTGCAAACAGTTTTGTTCAACTCTCCCATAAAAACTTAGTAATATGGTTATCAATCCTATATGTGGTTTTTTTTTAACAGAAATGAAAAGCTAGGGAAATCCTATGGACATACATCTTGGAATCAGTGTAAAGAAGTATTCCCTTGTAATGCAGAAGGTAATGTGAATGTGAAAGAAGCAGAAACACATCACAAAGTTCAGATCAATGAAAAATATTGCAGTGGAGGGAAACCCTATATATGTCAACAATGTGGAAAAGGTTTCACCAAATCTGAACATTGTAAGCAACATGAAAGAATTCACACTGGAGAGAAACCATATGTATGTAAGCAATGTGGGAAAGGTTTTACCCAACATGGAAATTGTTATCAACATGAAAGAATTCACACTGGAGAGAAACCATACGTATGTAAGCAATGTAGGAAAGCTTTTAACACACGGGGAAATTGTAAAATACATGAAAGAATTCACACTGGAGAGAAACCGTATGTATGTAAGCAGTGTGGGAAAGCTTTTAACAAACGGGCAGATTGTAAAAACCATGAAAGACTTCACACTGGAGAGAAACCTTATGTATGTAAGCAATGTGGGAAAGCTTTTTACACACAGGGAGATTTTAAGATACATGAAAGAATTCACACTGGAGAGAAACCCTATGTATGTAAGCAATGTGGGAAAGGTTTTACCCGACATGGAAATTGTAAGCAACATGAAAGAATTCACATTATCGAGAAACCATATGTATGTGAGCAATGTGGGAAAGCTTTTAAAACACGTGCAAATTGTAAGGTTCATGTAAGAATTCACAATGGAGAGAAACTTTATGTATGTAAGCAATGTGGGAAAGCTTTTAGCACACATGGACATTGTAAGGCACATGAAAGAATTCACACTGGAGTGAAACCATATGTATGTAGGCAATGTGGGAAAGCTTTTAACACACGGGGGTATTTTAAGCAACATGAAAGAATTCACACTGGAGAGAAACCCTATGTATGTAAGCAATGTGGGAAAGCTTTTACCCGACATGGACATTGTAAGGCACATGAAAGAATTCACACTGGAGTGAAACCATATGTATGTAAGCAATGTGGTAAAGCTTTTAACACACAGGCAAATTGTAAAATACATGAAAGAATTCACACTGGAGAGAAACCCTATGTATGTAGGCAATGTGGGAAAGCTTTTAACACACGGGGATATTTTAAGAAACATGAAAGAATTCACACTGGAGAGAAACCCTATGTATGTAAGCAGTGTGGCAAAGCTTTTAGCACACATGGACATTGTAAGCAACATGAAAGAATTCACACTGGCGAGAAACCATATGTATGTAAGCAATGTGGGAAAGCTTTTACCCAACATGGACATTTTAAGCAACATGAAAGAATTCATACTGGAGAGAAACCCTATATATGTAAGCATTGTGGGAAAGCTTTTACCCAACAAGGAAATTGTAAGCAACATGAAAGTTCACACCCAAGAAAAAACCAGTGTGTGTAAGTATCATAAATTTTTGGAGCACAAGTGCATATTGCATAATGCATGAAAAACTTCACACTGGGAAGAAAACTTATATATGTAAGGAATGTGGGAACGGTTTCAGCAGAAATGCTCATTGTCCAATACATGAAAAAATTTACACTGTTGAGAAACCCTGTTTATGTGAAGAATGTGGGAAAGCTTTCACCACACATGGATTTTGATGTAAAATACATCAATGACTCCACACTGGTGAGAAACCCTATGTATATAACAATGTGGCAAAGCTTTTACCACGCACAGTTATTGCAAAGCACATGAAAGAATTCACACTCGGTCGAACCACTGGCTACGTAAGCAAGTGGAGACACTTTCAGCAGCCAGATTGTAAGTGAAATATGTGAAGAAACTCACACTAGAGATAAATCCTATGTGTTATGGATTTATCTCAGCACACATGATCATTGCTGCATATCTGAAAGAGCTCACTGAATCCTATGTGTATTAACAATGTGAGAAATATGGCAATCCATTTTTGTTGTTAAATACATAGAAAAAGCAGCACTCTTCAGACAGTTTAGATCTAAGTTTAGTTTAAAAATTCCAAATAGACCTGAAGAAATAATCATTACAGAAGTTTGATGTCAATATTTCTTCACAAGTTTTCCAGAAGTGACAAATCTGAAGTGGAGCTCTACTCAAGTACATATTTTTTATGGTTTTCAGTTAATCACTTATACCTCTTTAGATTTTTTAAAGTGTCTTTGTGCTTCAACATGGCATCTTGTAATTAAACATGGTAAACTGAAATGGGCTTTTCACTTTCAAGTATGAATAGTGTCTATGTACTTAATATTTTGTCTTTAAAACTTAATTTTTATATTTTTGATGAATTATTTTTATTTAAAGAAAAAAAACCAAAAAGTGTAGAAATAATACAGAAGTTCTGAAAAATAAACAATAAGAAATCACTAGTTGATTAGTTACATATTGTTATCTTAGAAGTCATTGTTCAAGTCACAAAATTAAAGCATACAAAGTGATATTCAAATAATGACACTGTGAACAGTTCACCTCAGTGATCCAACAGGAACTTATTAATATGCTTATCTGTTGTACAAACTTGTTTTTTATCTTAAAGATTGTAAGACTAAACATGACAAAACAGAACAGTTCACAAGGAAATAAGTTAAGGAAACACAGGTTTCACATCAAGTCCACTGAGATGTTCATTTTCTATCTTACTGTCTCTAGTTTTCTTCAAAATATTTGTTCACATCTTCACATGCATTGAATAGATTCTGAACATTATAGAACTAATCAAATAATTACAGGATAATGCACCCTTTTTTGATCTTCAAGACTGATTTTGGGGAAGTTGATAATGATTACCATAATGTGTCTCATTCTGTTCGTAGTTGACGTCTTTATTTTCATGTATGCTGAAACTGAACATAAGACACTAAACCAATATCACTTTGAACAGTGAATAATAGTATCCTTAGAAGGAGAAAGGTGAGGAATTGCCTAAAAAAAGAAGGCAGAGGACATTGTTAAAAGTGTATCAGGATTTAAAAGCTACAGTAGTTCTGTTGCTCTGTTTATTTTGATTATATTTTGTTGTGGTCTGTCTACTCGTTAGATTTGAGGGCACAGAGAGATAACCCAAAAATAGAAGGTTATACTATGATGGTATCTGTCCTTAATTTTCTGTTAACTAAAACTGAAACCCTATATTAGTTACACTGTCTTACTATGACTGATGTTATTTGAAGCTGGATTGTTTGAATGTTATTTGGCCTTGACTGATTTTATTCACATTTGGTATGCTTGCTGGTATCAAGTCCAACAGTAGAGGCAACTACTCTGAAGATGATAAGATGTGACAGATATATATTGTGGGGCTGGGGATTTAGCTCAGTGGCTTAAGCCCCTGCCTGGCAAGTGTGAGGTTTCCAGTTTGATCCCCAGTACCAAAAAAAAAAAAAAAAAAAAAATTAAATGAATAAAAGATATAAATTCCAGGTTTAATTTTTTTTATTTAAAGAAAAAAAAAGAACATAAAAAAACAAAGCAGTAAAAGGGTACAAATAATACAGAATTTCAAGAAAAAAATACAGTAAGAAATCACTAGTTAATAGGTTATATATTGTCTTCTTTGAAACAGTTGTCCAAATTATAAAATTAAAGCATCTAAAATGAACATTCCTACAGTGAGATTGCAGACAGTTCTGTTCAATGATCCAACAAAAGCTCAGTAATATGGTTTTCCTTCCTACACACTCAAACAGGCACTTATATCCTTTAGACCACCTTCATTTCCTCTCTTCTTCACAATAACAATTACACTTTTGAGTTTTTTTTACTCCCATAGTTCTTATTACTTTTTTTGAAGAGAATTAAACCTCAAGTGAGTTAACAAACAGATTTGGTTAGAACATAAGGATGGGCATAGTATTTGATGCAAAATAGTATATCAGCTGATCAAAAATGGTTACCATTGTGCCTCTTGCTATTTTTAAAAAGAGTTGCTATATCATCAGGTATAATAGAATTGATCAAAACAGTAGAGAAAAAGACCAATAAAATCTACACTGGAGACCTTATAGGATTTCAAAAAAAGATAATAGTCAAACCATAATGGGCATCATATTAAATCTTACTGCCTACAAAGTGGTTGCCTATACCCTCAAACTTGATACTATCAAACAAAATAGAATATAGTAAAATCAGGCAGAACAAGATGAGGAGAGCAATACTGGGGTTCAAACCAGGTTAATAGGAAAACAAATAGTTACTATAATATATCCCGCTATTTTTAATTTAGTTTTCCTTTAATAGAAAAAAATAAAAAAATAGAATAATTTTTTTTAAAAAGGGTGGATATCGAGATAAAAAAGACATTGTAATAGAACAACACAGGTCAGAACTGAACAAGTAAAGCATCATTTTGTTTCACCACCAGATAATCTAACATAATAGTAGTCACCATAGTGCCTCTTTCCTTGAGTTATTTGAGTATAACTTCGTATACTATAGAATCAATCATATCAAGACAGTGTGAAGCCATTCAAGGGTATGAAAGAATTACAGGGTATTTAGAGCCAGTTAACAGAAAATGAACAATTTCTATATTATCTCTTTGCCTCTAAAAATTTTTATTTATACTATCACATACAGTAAAATATATTAAGACACAACATGGTAAAATCAGTGGAAATATGTACAACAGCTTGATGGGAGTTCCAAAGAAGATATTATATCAGCACTAGCTTTTATGATGTGTTATTTTCTTCAGAATAGCTATTCGACTATCCTCGATACTAAAATCGAGAAACCCAGGATAAAACCATTGCACTTAATGAGTAAAAACATTATATGGATTCAAACCAATATGATTGGGTATCATGATTACCACATACTTCTATGTATTATCATTTCTTATACTAGGGAATATATTCAGTATTTATACATTTGAGTTTGATTTATTTCACTTCTGAATATGGTCTCAAGCTGTGTCCATTTATTTATATGACAATGTGATCATTCTTTATAGCTGAGTAGTACTCCATTGTATAAAAACACCATAATTTTTTTATCCATTCCTCAGTTGATGAACACTTAGGTTGTTTCCAAGATCTGGATATTACAAACTATGCTGCTATAAAAATGGGTGCACATATATCACTATGGAATGATGCTTTCAGTTCTGTGACTATGCCTAGAAATAGAATAGCTGGGTCAAAAGGTGCTTCCGGTCGCAGCTTTCTGGAAGTCTCCAGACTGACCTTCACAATGGTTGCACCAGGCTACACTCCCATGAACAGTGCAAGAGAGTTCCTTTTTCCCAACAGTGTCTCCAACATTTGTTGTTGGTGGTTTTCTTGATCTTGGCCATTCTTTCCGGAGTGAGATGAAATCTCAGTGTGGTTTTAGTATGCATTTCTCTAATGACCATTGATGGTGAACATTTTTTTCATGTATTTATTTGTCATTTGTATTTCTTCATCTCAAAATTGTTTATTCATGTCAGATGCTCATTTTTGGATTGGGTCTTTGAATTTTGGTGGTCTCATTTTTGAAAATTCTTTATGTGTTTTAGACAGAAGTCCTCTGTCTAAGGGGCAGTTCACTAAGATTTTTTCCCAGTTTGTGGGTTTTCTTTTCACTATACTGGAGATTCCTTTTGATGTGCAGAAACTTTTTAATAAGAGGTGATCCCAATGAATCATTCTGGGAAGCATTTCCCATGCGGTTTGAGTCCTGTTCAATTCTCTACCTACTCCTAGTCTTCAAGGTTTTTACCCAATTTGTCTTCCAATAGATTTAGTGTTTCTGTTTTAATATTTAGATCTTTGATCCATTTAGATTTTATTTTATTACATGGTGATAGGCATGGGTCTAGTTTTAGTTTTAGGCATATGGAGAGCCAGTTTTTCACCACCATTTATTAAACAGAATGTCATTCTTCCAGTGAACATGTTTGGCCCCTTTATCAAAGATCAGGGAGTTGAGTGTGTTTGTAGTGGTTGTTGTATCTTCTCATCTATTCCACTGATCTTCAGCTCTGTTTTGCTTCCAGTACCATGTTGATTGTACTACAGTTGCTTTGTAGTATAACTTCAAGTCAAGGATTGTGGTACCTCCTGCCTTGCTTTTGCTGCTTCTAATTGTCCTTGCTATTCTAGGTTTCTTCTCATTCCAGATGAATTTTAGGGGTGATTTCTCAAGTTCTATGAGGTATGTTGATGGTATTTTTATCAGGATTGCATTGCATCTGAATAAAAGTTTTGGGAGAATGGCCATTTTCACAATATTTACTCTTCCTATTCATGAGCAAGGGATGTCTTTCCATTTTCTGAGATCATCTTCAATTTCATTTTTCAGTGTGTTATAATTTTCCCTGTATAGGTCTTTCACTTCTTTCGTGAGAGTAATTCCTTTTTTTTGGTTGCTAGTATGAAGGTTGTGGCCTGTCTTATTTCTGTCTCTGTGACTTTATTGTTAGTGTGTAGGAATGCTATTGATTTTTGAGTATTGATTCTGTATCCAGCTACATTACTGAATTTATTATATCTAGGAGTCTTTCAATGGCGCTTCGGGGATCTTCTATATAAAGTATCATGTCATCTGCAAATAATGATAATTTAACTTCTTTTTGTATCTTTACACCTTTTATTTCTCTCTCTTGTCTAATTGCTCTGCCCAGTATTTCCAGTACTATATTAAATAGGAGCTGTGATAAGGGGCATCCTTGCCTTGGGCCTGATTTTAAAGTAAAGGCCTTCAATTTTTTACCATTTAGTATGGTACTGGCTGTTGCTTTGTCATTGCCAGGCTTAATTATATTGAGTAAGGACCATCTATTCCAATTTTCTGCAAAGTTCTTATCATAAATGAATGTTGGACCTCATCAAAAGCTTTTTCTGCATCTATAGTAAAGATCATATGCTTATAACTTTTGGCTCTATTGATATGGTGTATTACATTTATTGATTTACATATATTAAACAATCTCTGCATGCAGGGATGAATCCCCCTTGGTCATGATATATGATCTTCTTGTTGATTTGCTGCATCCTGTTTTCCAATATTTTATTGAGGATTTTTGCATCCTTGTTCATTAGGCAGATTGGTCTGTAGTTCTCTTTTTCTCTTTATGAAGGATTGCTTCCCTTTCCATTACGGAGTGTTGGCATTAAGCGTTCTTTATATTTCTTGCAGAATTCTTCAGTGAATCTGTCTGGGCCTGGGCTCCTCTTTGTAGGTAACGATTTTATTATGTTTTCAATTTCATTAATAGAATTTGGGTTATTCAGTAGATTTACATCTCATGACCTAGCTTTGGTACTTCATATGCTTTTGGAATCTGTCTATTTCCTCTGTGTTATAAAACCTTTGAGAGTAGAAGTTTTCGAAATAGGTGTTGATGATCTTCTGTATTTCAATAGGGTCTGTAGTAATTTCACCTCTTTTATTCCTTATTGCATGTATTTGAACATTTTCTTCCATTTTTAAAATAAGGTTGGCTAGGGGCTTTTCAATTTTATTTATTCTTTCAAAGAACCAGGTCTTTGATTCACTGATTTTTTTGGATTGTTTTTTTAGTCTCTATTGCATTGATTTCTGCTCTGATTTTTATAATTTCTTCTTTTCTTTTGGCTGTGGGCTTGACTTGCTCTTCTTTTTCTAGATGTTTGACGTATAACGTCAGGTTATTTGTTTGTATTCGTTCTGTTTTCCTAATGTGGGAACTCATGCTATAAATTTTCCTTAGAGAACAGCTGTCATTGCATCACACAGATTCTGGTACGTTTTATTTGTGTTTCCATTTGTTTGTAGGTATTATTTAATTTCTTCTTTAATTTCCTCTGTGACTCACTTATTACTCAAGAGTGTTATTCAGTTTCCATGTGTTTGTGGGATTTTTGCCGTATTTTTCATCATTAATTTCTAATTTCATCATGGTATGGTCTGGTAGCATGCAAGGGATAATTTCAACCATTTTGCATTTATTTAAATATGCTCTGTGTATTAATATATGGTCTATTTTAGAGAATGACCCATGTAATACTGAGAAGAATGTGTATTCTGTTGTTGGGTGGAATACTCTGTATATGTCTATTAAGTCCATTTATTCACAGGTGCGATTCAGTTCTTTTATTTCTTTGCTCATTTTCTGTCTGGTTGATCTGTCCATTGGTGTCAGTGGTGTGTTAATATCTCCTGTTAGAATTGTGTTACTGCTAATTTGATTTTTCGTTTTTGTTAGTACTTGTTTTATATAATTGGGTGCTCTGGAGTTTGGTGCATATAAATTTAAGATAGTTTTCTCTTCCTCTTGAAGCTTTCCCCTAAGCAGTATTTAGTGACCTTCTTTATCCCTTCTGATCATTATTGGCTTAAAGTTCACATTGTCTGCAAACAAAATAGCTACCTCTGGTTTTTTTTTTTTTTGTTTGTTTGTTTTGCTTTGTTTTTTTGGTTCCTGTTGCATGAAATATTGTTTTCCATCCTTTGACTTTCAGTCTGTGAGTATCCTTTTGGGTTTAGATGGGTTTCTTGCAGACTGCATATGGTTGGATTTTGTTTCTTAATCCATTCTGCCAGTTGGTTTCTTTTATTGGTCCAATGAGACCATTTACATTAATGGTTAGAACTGTTATATATTGGTTTATTGTTGACATATTATCTTTCTGCTGTTGCATCTTTATCTTTCTGCTCTTTCTAACTTTCTGTTTTGTTTAGAGGTTTTTTCCTAAATGTATCTAGGCTGTCTTTCAGTATTCTTTGCAGGGTTGGCTTGGTGATCATGAAGTTTTTCAGCTTTTCTTTGTCACAGAAGTATCTTATTTCTCCATTGATTTTGAAGGACAGTTTTTCAGGGTACATCAGTCTAGGTTGGAAATCATTTTCCTTTAGGATCTGAAATACTTCACTGGATGCTCTTCTTGACTTTATTGTTTGTGCTGAGAAGTCTGCTGTGATTCTGATACATTTTCCTTTATAGGTGATCTGTCTCTTTTCTCTGACAGTTTTTAATATTCTATTCTTTTGCTCAATTTCTGGGATGGTCTTTATTATATGTCTGGGTGTAGATTTATTTTGGTTATGGCTATTTGGATTTCTATATGCTTCATTGATCTTAATATTAGTTTCCAATATCGTGTTTGGGAAATTTTCAGCTACCACTTCTCTAAATATTATCTTGACATCCTTTATGTTGTCTCCTTTTTCATTTATCCCTATCAACCTTATGTTGTTCTGCTTTGCATCATCTTGCAGGTGTTGAATAGTTATTTCCTGATTTCTTGTTATTTTTAAAAGATCTTTCCTTTCCTGTTCATTGGCTGCAATCTTGTCTTCGGGTTCTGAGATTGTATCTTCACATTCATTGAGGCAGTTTTTACAACTTTCAATGGAGTTTTTGATTTCCTGTATATCACTTTGCATCTGCTTTATGTATTCTGTTTGTTTCTTATAGAGTTCATCCAGGGATTCTATCTGTTTGTTTAGTTCCTCCAAATTTTTAACTGTGTCTTCTTTAGATATGTTCAGAATCTCCTTCATTACTTTTAACATGTCTTTTTTTTACCTACAAGATTATTTCTAGTTTGAATTTCTTTAATACTTCCCAAAGTTGCTTCTTTATTTCAGTTACTATTATTTCAGGTATTTCAGTTATGTTGAATGTGTTTTCTTCTATGCACATGTCTCCTAGGCTTTTTGAGGATGGGCTGAATGTTTGAGATTGCATTTTGGTCTTTCATTTTGTCATTTTGCTGTATTTTCAAGCTTCAAGTGTTGTTCCAAGTGAGGGAGTGAGTTCACCCAGATTGGGACGGGATTCCATGCCTACGCCGAACTTGCTGGCAAGGTAGGGAGTTCCCCCACACTGCAATTGGAATCTGTTCCTCGGCCCCACTTGCTGGTCCCAGCAGGAATCCTTGGGCTTTTCCCCAGGTGAGGAAGAGAATTACCCCAGACTGGGACAGGATTCTGTGCCTTGGCCCGACTCCCTGGTTCCAACTCGCTGGTCCCAAATCACTGGTCCCAGTGGGCAACCACGGGCTGGTCCCCAGGTGAGGAAGGGAGTTCCTCCAGACTTGGATGATATTCCGTGCCTTGGCCTGAGTTGCTGGTCCTGGCAGGAAACCATGGATTCTACATCAGGATTGATTATTAACTGCTTTCATATCCTACAACGTCTTTAAATTGTGTTTTTATAAAAATAGCTATATAATGTTATGCTTAATTGTATAGTCCCTGATGATGTGGACAATTCTATTGAAAATAACAAGAGAAAGCATAGTAAGTACTTTATATCACCTAATATTGTGGTCTTATATGTCTCGTTCATATCATGATTTTCTAGGAATTTGTTTTGTTGTCTTATTTTGATCTGTTTTCCCCTATAACACAGAAAGGATAGATATACACATAGAGATTCACACATTGGAAGAATTTCTAACCTATTTATTTCAACAAATAATATAATGCATAATGTAATGAACAGATACTCTGAAGAAGAAATGACACTAAGAAACCCAAAGCTAATTCTGTAGCATTATGATATAAAATTGAGCAATACTATTATTCACTGTTCAGAGTGATATTAGTCTAGTCTCTTATTTTTTTGTGAACTGTAATTTTAACATGGCATTGTTTTAATCTTTTGATGCACATGCTTCATTTTCTCTTTCATAAATGATGTTTCTGAAGTTGATGCAATATTTGGCCTTAAGATATACATTTGTAGAGGCTTGGAGTATGTGTTTTTGACAGAGTTGTGTTCTTTTCACATAACTTGTACATTAATGAATGTTATGTTTTCCAAGTTGTGACAAGACATCTGCTGATTTCCTAACATCACTGGATATCATACCATGTAAATTATGTTGCCTGATTTTGTTTCTCGGTGGAGCCAATATTTGTCATTTAAGTAAACCTTTGTTTTTCTAACCATCAGAATTTTACTTGTTATGTTTATATTACATCTTTATTTGCTAGTAAGGTTTCCCCACATCTACCAAATGTAAACCATACTACTGTGAATTTCTGATTGTGCCATACTGACAGAATCATAACTTGTCTCCAATAGCACATCACAATATATATATATATATATATATATATATATATATATATATATATCAATATCTCCAGAAATTATAAAATTTGGCATGATTTATGAGTAACCATACTTTGAAATCAATTTTTCTTAAATATGGAGTTGTTTGGGGGGAAATGTTGTTATTAGATGTATCATGCAAATGCCTTTATTTTATTCCTTGATGCTGTGATTGCATTATATATTTTGTTATTATGACTGTTTTTTCCAAAAATACTGAAGTAATGGCATGAAGGGAAACCTAAATTTTGAGCTGTCAACACAGTAAAAAGTAAATTTGTTAAATTAAGATTCAGATTATGTTCTGTTTTACTGAATTGTGAATTTATACAATGGCATATCACTTTATTTATAAGGACCAGTGCATGATGTTTGTGGTGTGTACTGATTATCTTTAAACACATACACTGGGCCATGAGTCCCAGCTGGTTTCCTGTGGCCTGTAGTTTTCACTTCCATTTTAACATTCATGTAATTTGTAATATGTTTAATGCTGTGTTGTTGAATACAAAATCTGCTTAGGAATTATGTTGTTAAAAACTGTGGTGTTATGAAAACACAAGTGAACATTGCATTAAGTACCCTTAATCCAGTGAAGATAGCTTGCCCAAGTCTCAATTATCCTTGGGAAAATAAATTACTTACCTCTTATGTAATCACCACTAAAACTATATCTATTTTGTACTTGAAGAACCTGATGTGCTTCACAAAGTAAAAGACACTGTGAAGTACATTGTCTCAATTCTCACTTTCTCATTGTCTCAATTATCCTTGGGAAAATAAATTACTTACCTCTTATGTAATCACCACTAAAACTATATCTATTTTGTACCTGAAGAACCTGATATACTTCACAAAGTAAAAGACACTGTGAAGTACATTGTCAGTCTGTATGTACTACAGCATGTGGACAGATTCCCTGCAGCATATTTCTGCTTACCATCAGTGGGAATATTTGGAGTTTGTATTACAGCTAATAATAGAATACTGAATCTATAAGACATATACCTTGAGTCCATGCACTTTCTCATTTTACCATGAAAGTAAATCTTGCTGGTCCTGTTGATGCATGCCTGTAATCCTAGCACCTCAGTGGGCTTAAATTAGTGGAAGAGGAAGTTGAGTCTAACCTACACAATTAGAGTGACCTTGTCTCAAATATATCTTCAAGTTCTGCAGATGTAGCTCAATGCTTTAGATCTCCTCCCTTTCTTCCCCATCATCAACATTTTTTAATAATCACAATTGCACATCAGTAGTTGTCCTTTTATCGGTTGGCCATGTATCTGTTATTCTGGAGAATCACTTGTGAAACACATTTGTTTTTGCAGTGACCATCCTGAGCATCATTTGGGCAGTTGTCAATTTAACCCATTCATTCTTGTATTGAGTACATTAGAATTGTCACTTTTATATTTCTTGTTATTTTATAAAAACTAACAAAAAGTATGCAGTTTTTGATAATTTTGTATTTAAATAATTGCATTGGTAAAGAGTTACCTATAAAGGTTAGGCTAAAGATGATTTCTTTAGTTCAAGCATCAGGAGAGAATGAGATGGGGTGATAATGGCTTTGAAGCTGACTTTGGGAGGCAATTGCTATATGGTTTAGCAGAGTGTGAAACAGTTTTTTTATGCCTGCATTTGAAGTTTTAGGAAACAAGTACGTTGAGGTCAAGAATATAAATGTACGATAGGGTAAAAGAATCACTACTGCAAATTGTGATTTTTCTTCATTCAAGAAGTGTACATTTTTTGGTAATTTGTGCAGCAGTCTCAAATATGCCTCTATTGGAGTAAAACATAGTGAAACATGAAAGAGCCAGACATTCCATGTTCTGAATGTAGAGGTATTAAAAAACATTTTTTAAATACTATTGCTGCTGTTTTGTGTAGAAAATAAGATAGCGTGACAAAACAAGGAAAAAGGACTTTGTAAGATTTTAATCCTCCTGCATAAGCATAGATGCCACAAAAAAGTCAAACCAAAATGATGAAGAAATAAACTACAGAATGAGAGAAATTTTGCCTATTACTCCCTGACAGCTAACATGTAAAACCAATAGGAACGTCCAAGGAATGCACATTTTTCAGCATATGTACAAATTGCCAAGAAATACCTGAAGAACTATTGAGCATTTTTGCACAATAGAGAAATGCAAATAGGGACATCATTTCATTGCATAGAGAACTAATCACCATAAGATCTAAAGAACATTCAGAAGACTACAGGAGAAAAGGAACTATTTAACCGTGTTGGTGGAAATGTAGTTAAGTATTTCAACTACTATGGAAGTCAGTTTTTAAAGTATTCAAAAGACTAAAATTAGTAATTCTCATTAGTGCAGTGCCTCATTTAGTGGGTGTCTTCCCCAAAGAGTTAAGGACATATTGCAGTGACTCATGTAGATTCCTGTTACTGCAGCAATATTCAATTTTCTGTGGAGAGCAGCATCAAGCACTGCTCCATCCCCAGCAAATACCAATGATGAACAACAAATACTCACTAGTGTACTCCATTTGATAAACTGTGTGATATTTTATTGTGAAGTTGGCTGTGACTTAGGTTTTCCAGTAGACTACTGGTCAGTATAAATATAATAGTGATGTTAATGTCACAAGGCCATCACTAGTACACTATTATGTTCATTAGATTTGATGTATTTATCTTTTTGAGGATGCATGTTGCTATGAAGTTCAGGCTGGCTTTGAGGTCACATTATAACCCAGAGTGGTCTCAAACAATTCTCCTTCCTTAGTGTCTCAAGTACTGGACTCCACACAAGAGCCACCAGGCCTAGTTTATATTTAGTATATTAAGTACATATTTAGGATATTTTATTTCAACTGTTTTTGTTGTTAAAGTATTTCCATATTTTACCTCCAGCATTTGTAGAAACTTCAGCCTTATTGAGGTGGTGATGTGCATATCACCAGCCTCATGACATTGTCTGCTGGGTTCAGAGCTATCAGTGTACTGCAGTGAAACATAGCTGTACATAACTCTTTCTTTTTCTACTTTCCTTAGAAAACATTTTTAAAATTTCCATGGATAATCACAGGGTCAATAACCCTGGCTAGAGTTTCATGCAAATTCTCAAAGTTAAGTACAGTGTAGCACTGACCCGAAGATACTCTCTGTCATCTGAGAGTCTTTATAGTCCTTTCTGTACACACACTGTGCTTGAGCCAGCACCTGTTGTGAGTCCCAGAGTCTGCTGCAAAGCCATGGAACACATAGCTTTGTGACCGCCTCTAGACTGGTGTCCTATATGCCACTCTGCTGGGGCAGAGCACAGCTTCTGGCAGGAAGCCAGAGGCTCTGAGGCTCTGAGACAACACAGGTTTTTCTTTGTGAACACAGGTAATCTTATATTTCTGTAAGACAGACAGCTCTGTCCCATATTTCTACCCAGGAAGACAGGAGAGGATTCTGGAGACTGGATTACTCAGGGGTGCTGCCTTTCTGCTCTGCCATCCTGATCTTGGGTGGGAACCTGACAGTGGCTCCGGCTTGGATCCCCCCCAGACCTGCACTTGCCCATGAGTATCTGCCCTCAGGGCATGTCAGACCCAGTCACACTTGACTTAGGGCAGGAATTGTGTCGGGGGATTCACAGTGGTAGTCAGGCCTTAATGTTACTCTGCTGGACTCAGTGAGTCTGAGTGGCTTGTGGCTGAGTCTAGTAACACCTGTCCTGGTCTCTCTCCTGCCTCTGGCTTCCAGAAGGCTGGGGACAGTGAGCCCTGTCCTTTAATGCCCTTGTCATTTGGCATTTGCCCGCAAGCACCCTGAAGGCTCTGGGATAAGAGAACCATTTTTTCAGCCATTCCCACATAGTCTCCCTATGCAGGATCCTGAGGCTGGGGTCTCGTGTCCCGGGAAAGCAGCATAACCTGCTCCCTGCTCACTGTCTTGAGCCAACTGTCTGTACAGACCAACTGTCAACAGACCAAGGTGCCTGGTGACCTAAGCCTTCAGAGTTCTGTTTGGACCTATTGCCAAGGAAGTGAGGTCATGCACTGGGGTCCGCAGTTTGGCCTTCCTCTGGGATATCACCTTTCTTTTTGTTGTGGAACAAATCTATGTCCTCCTTAGAAACAACAAGTTAAAATGCTAGAAAACTGTGTGTACTTTCAGACTTTGTTGCACTTCGAAGATTTTAATGCAGCAGACATGTAGATGCTTCAGATGTGTCAGGCTGGGTGCCAAACACAAATGTCCATCCAAAGGGTCCATTGTCTCGGAGAATGAAAGACACATTGTCTTCTGTTGAAGATTTGTCAAATGTTAGGATGACTTCCTTTCTTGGGCTTATGTTAGTTTAATTTCAGTTCCATTAGGAAGCAAAATACCCATAATAATTTTACCAAACAATGTGAAGGTCTCATGTTATAAACCCCATATATCCAGGGGAGGAGGATTCATAGCCAGTTTTACTCTCGCATGATTAGGAATGATTATTTATTCATCCTTAGATGTTCAACTCAGCTATACACTGTAGTGCTCCAAACTATGACCCCCAGGGAGGGGGGACAGCAGGTGGTGAGTACAAGGGGAGGTGACATCATCACCCCATACTGATGAAGGACACATGTGCATCACTCCTAGGGAACTTGTCTCCTAGCTGCTGCTGTGAGTTCCTTTCCTCCCATGCCAATCAGACCATGGGCTTTGTGTTCCTGATGGGTAGTTTCCCTTTCCTAGAGGTGATGGTGCTGAGCCTTTTCAGTTGTAATACTCTTTGGTTGGTCTCCTTGAAGCAGTGTTTCCATGCTGGGCTCTCTCTGTGCTGCCAACACCCACTATTATGTGGCTGAACCAAGCACATGCACCTGTCACCCATGTTGTGATGGCCACTTTTTATGTTTTTGGGTCGGACTTCAAAAGGAAGCTGCCACACCCATTCTTACATAAGCATTTGAGTGGATACCGACGTTTATTTCAAAGAAAATGCATCATATTGCTGGTGTATGGATAACTTAGAAATTCTTGCTGTATTTTTCTAAGCAAATGTTTAAAGCAGAGTTATGTGGTTCCTTTTTTATTTTGTTTTGTGTTATTATGCTATACTATATTATGCTCTGTTATGTTATATTGTGTTATATGTTGGTGAGGATTTTGAAAGTCCTTCAGGGTGTTTTCAGTACTTTCTGATTTGGTTTTGTATAACCAACCTAATGAACTTTGGAATATCAAAAACTTTGAGGAATTTTTTGCGCAAAATTTAAAGAGGAAAACACAATCAGGGATGTTGTTGCACACCTGTTATTCCAGGAGTCTGAAGGCTGAGGAAGAAAGTTTGTGGTGAGTTTTAGGTCATCCTGGGCCACAGGGAAGATCAAGGCCAGACTGAACAGCATAGCAAAACCCTGTCTGAAAAAAAAAAGAAAGAAGAAAGAGAGAAAAAAATGATAAAAATGAAAAGTCAAAAATAGACTTTCTAGTGAAAAATCTTTGTGAGGTTGTCTTGCATGTGTACTTTAGTCAGCACACCTAGCATAAGGTTTACCATCATGGAGACATTGATGTGCTTCCTGGTGTTTGTACTCTTTCAATTTTTTAAGGCTTTTTACTTAGATGACTGCAGATATGCTGCTGAGTATATCCTCTTAGGATTTGGGTAGTTCCGTATGAAGAGATTTTGATCATTCTGGTTTTTGTTTCTGTCCTCAATTTATATTTAATACCAGAATTTGAGCAATGGATTACTATTTTTATTTTGAAATAATAATAAGAATCATATAAAGATACACTTTTTAAGTCTATGAAAAGATAAAATAAGTATAGATTAATAGTGATTAATGTACCTTCTTCAGTGACTTCTGAGATTTATTAAAGATCAATATTTTCATACATTTGTAAAAGCTTTGGTTTGGTACAAATTTTAAGACATGGTCTCACTAATTTTCTAAATGTCCCAGGCTAGGCTTAAACCTTTCCTCATCATTCCTCCCTCTCCCAGAGTGCTGGGATTACAGGTGTATATTACCCTGAGTTGGCAATTATTAGCAATGTTGTGTATTCATGAAATAAAATGTTTGGCTTTGGTCTTCAGACACTTTGTAGAAAGAGTCATTCTACTTAAGCCACCTTGCTATCCTGCAGCTTCTTTCACAGTGAGTAGGACTGAAAATCCCATTAACACTGTTAGTAGATTCTCTGCTTTTCTAACTATGGTCAGCAGGCACTTCAGAAGATCACTCCAAATGCCTTCTGCACTAGGATTGAGGCTTGGTGTCTTTGAAGCACATTCTCTTTTTGTTTGATCCCTCATGGAATTTGATGATTGTTTGAAGTCAAATTGCAAGAAAGGTGGGAAGGTTAAAGTTACTTGGGGCACACTCCCCTCCAGAAGGCCAGGCCAGTCTAAAAATTTATTTACCCTCCTAGTGTCAGTTGCAAAGTTTTTTTTTAGTGTTGTCCAATTTCTAGGATTTGAATACAGAGCTTTGCATTGGCTTCTTTGTCTTCACCTTTTAACACCTTTCTTGTTTTGAGCTAGGTCCTTAATAAATGGCTAAATTGTTGAGGCTCACCTTGAATTAGTGATGCTCCTGACTCAGCCTTCCAGACTGCTAGGATTACAAGCCACACCAGCAGACCCAGTCTCATCATAGTGTTGTTAAAAACTTATTGGCTGCCCTGCTGCCGCCTCTCTCACCTGGGCCCATACTACGAGCACTGGGGACTGGAAGGTGAACATCCAGCTGAGCGGAGGCCGGCCCTGCTGCCGCCTCTCCTGCCCAGGGCCCAACTACCACTGCTGGGGACTGGAAGGTGCATGTCCAGCCAAGTGGAGGCCTGCCCTGCTGCTGCCTCTCCCGCCAAGGACCCATACTGCCACCGCTCGGGACTGGAAGCTGCGCATCCAGCTGAGCAGAGGCCAGCCCTGCTGTCGCCTCTCCCGCCCAGGGCCCATACTACCATCTCTGGGGACTGGAAGGTGTGCATCCAGCTGAGCTAAGACGACTCCGGTCCGGCCCTGAAACTGTGCAAATTGAGGAAGCTTTAGGTCTACCTGAGAGGAGCCTAGCAAGCCTCTTTTAATCCAGGGGCTCCGCTGCCCAAGGAGGGAGCTACTTCAAGAGGAGTCCCAAAAGCCTACAACATAAGAGTCAATTTACAACACAACCAGAGAAACTCTGAAACAACACTTGAAACACAGTAATATAGTAAAATGACAAAATGAAAGACCAAAATGCAATCTCAAACACCCAACCCATCCCCCAGGAAAGCCTAGGAGCCAGGTACATAGAAGAAAATACATGCCATATACCTGAAATACCGAAACAATAGTAACAGAAATAAAGAAGCAGCTTCAGGAAGCTTGAAAGAATTCAAACTAGAAATAATATATCAGGTAAAAGAAGAAATAATAAAAGAAATGAAGGAGATGCTGAACATATCTAAAGACACAGCTAAAAAATTGGAGGAACTAAACAAAAGGATAGAATCTCTGGATGAACAATATAAGAAACAAACAGAATATATAAGACAGATGCAAAGAGATATACAGGAAATCAAAAGCAACATTAAAAGTTGTAAAAACCGCCTGAATGAATGCGAAGATAGAATTTCAGACCTCAAAGACAAGATTGCAGCCAGTGAGCAGGAAACAAAAGATCTTTTAAAAATAACAAGAAATCAAGAAATAACAATACAACACCTGCAAGATGACACAAAGAAAAACAACATCAGGTTGATACCATAAATGAAAAAGAACGAGACAATACAAAGGATGTCAAGAGGATATTTAAAGAAGTAATTGCTGAAAACTTCCCAAACATGAAATTGGAAACTGATATCAGGATCAATGAGGCATATAGAACTCCAAATAGCCATAACCAAAATAAAACTACACCCAGACATATAAAAATCACCATCCCAGAAATGGAACAAAAGAATAGAATAATAAAAGCTGTCAGAGATAAAAGACAGATCACCTATAAAGGAAAACCTATCAGAATCACAGCAGACTTCTCAACACAAACAATAAAGGCAAGAAGAGCATGGAGCGAAGTATTTCATACCCTAAAGGAAAATGATTTCCAACCTAGACTGATGTACCCTGAAAAGCTGTCCTTCAAAATTGATGGAGAAATAAGACACTTCCACGACAAATAACAGCTGAAGAAATTCATGATCACCAAGCCAATCCTGCCAAAAATACTGAAAGACAGCCTAGATACACTTAAGAAAAAAACACTTAACAAAGCAGACAATTAAATAGAACAAAAAGATAAAGATGCAACTGCAGAAATATAACATGTCACTAATAAACCAATATATAACACTTATAACTGTTAACACAAATGGTCTCAATGCACTAATTAAAAGAAATACACTGGCGGAATAGATCAAGAAACAAAATCCAACCATATTCTGTTTACAAGAAACCCATCTAACCCAAAAGGATACTCACAAACTGAAAGTCAAAGGATGGAAAACAACACTTCATGCAACAGGAACCACCCAACAAAGCGGGGGTAGCTATTCTGTTTGCAGACAATGTGAACTTCAAACCAATAATGATCAGAAGAGAAAAAGCGGGTCACTACATACTGGTTATGGGAAAACTTCAAGAGGAAGAGATAACTATCTTAAATATATATGCACCAAATTCCAAAGCACCCAGTTATATAAAACAAGTAATATCAGAAATGAAAAACCAAATTAGTAATAATACAATTATAACAGGATGTTTTAACACACCATTGACACCAATGGACGGATCAACAGGACAGAAAATCAGCAAAGAGATAAAAGAACTGAATCACACCTGTGAACAAATGGAATTGTTAGACATATATAGAGTATTCTGCCCAACAACAACAGAATACACATTTTTCTCAGCAGTACATGGGTCATTCTATAAAATAGACCATATATTAACTCATAGAACATATTTAAAGAAATGCAAAAGAGTTGAAATCATCCCCTGCATGTTACCAGATCATAGCACTATGAAATTAGTAATTAATGATAAAAGATACTGGAAAAATCCCATAAACACATGGAAACTGAATAACCCACTCTTGAGTTATCAGTGGGTCACAGAGGAAATTAAATAATACCTACAAACAAATGAAAACACAAATACAAGTTACTGGAATCTGTGGGATACAATGAAAGCTGTCCTCAGAGGAAAATTTATTGCACTGAGTTCCCATATCCAGAAAACAGAACAAATACAAATAAATAACTTGATGCTACACCCCAAACAGCTTGAAAAAGAAGAGCAAGTCAAGCCCAAAGCCAAAAGAAGAGAGGAAATTATAAAAATCAGACCAGAAATCAATGCAATAGAGACTAAGAAAACAATACAAAGATTCAATCAATCAAAGAGTTGGTTCTTTGAAAGAATAAATAAAATTGATAGGCCCCTAGCCAACCTTATTAAAAAAAAGGGGAAGAAAATGCTCAAATTCATGCAATAAGGAATGAAAAATGTGAAATCACTACAGACCCAATAGAAATACAGAATATCATCAACACCTATAACAAAAACCTCTACCCTCAAAGGTTAGATAACACAGAAGAAATAAACAGATTTCTAGAAGCATATGAAGTACCAAAGCTAGGTCAAGAAGAAGTAAAACTGCTGAATAACCCAGTTTCTATTCATGAAATTGAAAATGTAATTAAGTCATTACCTACAAAGAAGAGCTCAGGCCCAAATGGATTCCCTGCAGAATTCTTCAAGAAATACAAAGAGGACCTAATGCTGACACTCCTCAAACTCTTCAATGAAATTGAAAGGGAAGGAATCCTTCCTAAGTCATTCCTGGAAGCAAATATTACCCTAGTACCAAAACCTGAGAAAGACCCAACTGAAAAAGAGAACTACAGACCAATCTCCCTAATGAACACAGATGCAAAGATCCTCAATAAAATATTGGCAAATAGGATGCAGCAAGTCATCAAGAAGATTATACACCATGACCAAGTGGGATTCATTCCAGGTATGCAGTGATGGTTCAATATACGTAAATCAATAAATGTAATCCACCATATCAGTAGAGTCAAAAGTAAGAATCATGCGGTCATTTCTATAGATGCAGAAAAAGCTTTTGATAAGCTACAACACTCATTTATGATAAGAACCTTACAGAAAATTGGAATAGATGGTCTTTACCTCAACATAATAAAGGCCATCTATGACAAACCAACAGCCAGTGTCATGCTAAATGGCCAAAAATTGAAGGCCTTTACTTTAAAATTAAGCAGAAGACAAGGATGTCCCCTGTCACTGCTCCTATTTAATATAGTACTGGAAATACTAGCCAGAGCAATTAGACATGAAAGAAAAATAAAAGGCATAAAGATAGGAAAAGAAGAAGTTAAATTATCACTATTTGCAGATGATATGACACTCTACATAGAAGAGCAAAAAAACTCCATTGAAAGACTCCTAGATATAATAAATAAATTCAGCAATGTGGCTGGATACAAAAACAATACTCAAAAATCAATAGCATTCTTATATACTAACAACAAAATCACAGAGAGGGAAATAAGAGAAGCCACATCCTTCACACTGGCAACCAAGAAAATGAAATATTTAGGAATTACTCTCACAAAAGAAGTGAAAGAACTATATAGGGAAAATTATAATACATTGAAAAATGAAATTGAAGATGATCTCAGGAAATGGAAGGACATCCCTTGCTCATGGATAGGAAGAATAAATACTGTGAAAATGGCCATTTTCCCAACACTGTTATACAGATGCAATGCAATCCCAATAAAAATACCATCAACATACCTCATAGATCTCAAGAAATAAATCCTACAATTCATCTGGAACCAGAAGAGACCTAGAATAGCAAGGACAGTTCTAAGCAGCAAAGGCACGGCAGGAGACATCACAATCCCTGACTTGAAGTTATACTACAATGCAACTGTAGTAAAATCAACATGGTACTGGAATCAAACCAGAGCTGAAGACCAATGGAATAGTTTAGAAGATACAACCACAGCTACAAACACACTCAACCACCTTGTCTTTGATAAAGGGGCCAAACAGGTTCACTGGAAGAATGACAGTCTCTTTAATAAATGGCGTTGGAAAAACTGGCTTTCCATATGCCGAAAACTAAAAGTAGACCCATGCCTGTCTCCCTATACTAAAATAGTTACTATTGTCTTCCCTAATTTGCAACTTGAGGAACTAAAATGCCTCTAATGATTTGATTAGTTCTATAATATGCAATAAGTATATAAGGTGTGTGAAGATGGGTTCAACTATTTGTAAGAAACTAAAGACAGTTAGATAGACAATGAAGATCTCCAGTGGGCTTGCTGCAAAATCTGTATTTCTTTAAATTGTTTTCTTAACTGCTTTGTTCTGTTTTGATATGATTAATCTTACCCTCTTTGAGATGTAAAACAAATGAGTAGGACTGATAACCATATTACTCAGCTTTTGTTTGATCATAGAGCAGAACAGGTTGTAGTGTCACTTTATGAATGTCATTCTAAATACTTTAATTCTGTAACATGAACAGCTATTTCTAAGATGATAATGTGTAACTTATCAACCAGCAATTTCTTAATGTTTGTTTCTCTGTAAGTTTGTATTATTTCTACCCCTTTTTTATCTCCATGTATTCTTTTGTTTCCTTTTCTTTAAATAAAAATAAATAAATAAAAAATAAAATCTAAATTTATCAAAGATCTAAATATTAAAACAGAAACACTAAATCTATTGGAAGACAAATTGGGTAAAAACCTTGAAGACATAGGGGTAGGTAGGGAATTCATGAACAAGACTCAAACTGCATGGGAAATCCCAGAGTCAATAACTGGGATCACATCTTATTAAAAATTTTCTGTACATCGAAAGAAATCTCTAACATAGTGAAAAGTAAACCCACAAACTGGGAAAAAAATCCTACTGAACTGTCCCTCTGACAAAGGACTTCTGTCTAAAACATACAAAGAATTAAAAAAAATCAGACCCCCAAAATTCAAAGACCCCATCCAAAAATGGGCATCGGAGATGAATAAACAATTTTCAGATGAAGAAATACAAACGGCAAATAAATATATGAAAAAATGTTCAGCATCACTAATCATTAGAGAAATGCAAATTAAAACCACACTGAGATTTCATCTCACCCCTGAAAGAATCACCAAGATCAAGAAAATCACCAATAACAAATGCTGGAGAGGCTGTGGGGAAAAATGAACTCTCCTGCATTGTTCGTGGGAGTGTAGACTGGTGCAACCATTGTGGAGGTCAGTCTGGAGATTTCTCAGAAAGCTGGGACTGGAAACACCATTTGACCCAGCTATTCCACTCCTAGGCATATTCCCAGAAGAACTGAAAGCATCATACCACAGTGATATATGTGCACCCATGTTTATAGCAGAACAATTTGTAATAGCCAGATCTTGGAAACAACCTAACTGTCCATCAACTGTGGAATGGATAAAAAAGTTGTGCTATTTCTATACAATGGAGTACTACTCAGCTATAAAGAATGATCACATTGAGACATTTATAAATAAATGGCCACAGCTCGAGACCATACTTATAAGTGAAATAAATCAAACTCACCTGTATAAATACCGAATAGTTTCCCTAGTGTAAGAAATGATAAGAATACATGAAAGTTCGTGGTAATCATGATTCCCAGTCACACTGGTTTTAAGCCATATAATTTTGTCACTCATTACTTGGAATGGTTTTAATTTGGGTGTTTTTATTTTATTGTCTGTGATACTACAAATGACTATTTTGAAGAGAATAAGAGCGTAATAGCTAGCGCTGATTTAATATCATCATGTTTTGAAGCCCCATCAAGTTTTTGTTCATTTCCATTGGTTCTAACATGTGGTACCTTATTATATCTTAATGTATTCGATAGTATAAGCAAGTTTTTTTTATAGACAAAGAGATAATATAGAAATTGATGTTTGGTTTTTGCTAGCTGGTTCTAAATTCCCTGCAACAATTTCATTCTCTTGAATGACTCTCACACTGTCTTGATAAATTTGATGCTATAGTATACGAAGTTAGACTCAAATATTTCAAGGAAAGGGTCACTATGGTAACTACTATTAATGTAACACTATCTGGGGGTGAAACACAATGATGGTTAAATTTTTCGATTCTGACCAGTGTTGTTATATTGATACGTTCTTTTTTTTTTAATCTCAGTCTCCCCTCCTTTTTCTTTCCTTTTTAAAAAATTAATTTATTTCTTAGTATCTTTTAACTAAGGGAAATTAAATTAAAAATAGTGTGATAGAATATAGTAATTTATTTTTTGTTTCCCTATTAACCTGATTTGAACCCCTGTAGTGTTCTCCATATCTAGTTCTGACTGATTTTATTATATTCTGTTTCACTTATAGTATCAAGTTTGAGGGTATAGGCAACCATTTAGAAGGCAACCAGATTTTCTATGATGCCCATTATTATTTGACTATTTTCTTCTTTGGAATCCTGTAAGCTCTCCAATGTGGTTTTATTAGTCTTATGTACAGTTTTGTTCAATTCTTTTATACTAGCTGATATAGGCTACTCTTTTTAGGATAACAAGAGGCATAATGGTAACCATTGTTGATCAACTAGTAATCCCCCCTTATTTTTTTATTTTTCAGTTTATGCTATGTCCATGCTCCTGATCTAAATGACTCTGTTTTGCTTTGTCACATTGGGTTTTTCTATGGTGCGTCTTGCTTTGTTTTTTGTTTTTTAGCCTTTTTTTCAAACTTTTTTCTTTTCCTCTTCAAAAAAAAGTTAAAAAAAAAAAACTGTGGAAGTAATGGAAACTAAAATGCACGATTGTTAGTGGAAACAAGAGAGAAAGAAAAGTGATTCAAGGATATAACTGCAAGGTTATTGAAATGTGTAGGAAAGAGATCCATATTGCTGAGTTTTTCTTGGATCATTGAACAGAACTGACTGAAATCTCACTGTATTAATCTCCACTTTGTATGCTTTAATTTTGTAATCAGGACAGCTGTTTGTAAGTTGAGAGTGTGTGATCTATTAACTGGTGAACTCTGACAGTATGTTTTTTCTCTTGAAATTCTGTGTTGCTTCTAGCCTTTTACTGTGTTGCTTCATTTAGTTTTGTTTTTCTCTTTAAATTAAAAAAAAAAAACTTATTGGCAGAGCAAGGAATGGTGAAAATACCTGTAATGCCTGTACTCAAGTGGCTGAGGCACCAGGGTTCCTGGGAGTTCCAGACAAGCCTGCAACATATTCTGAGTTCAGCTCAGGCTACAATGACACAGGGAGACCCTGACTATAAAAAGAAAATGAAAAAATAGGGAAGAAAAGAAAGGAAAGAAGAAACAAAATAAAATTCCTAGTGATTTTGTCACTTGGTGTGCATCTGGGCAAGCTGTTTTAGTCTGTGGTCCTTTTCTTCCAGTGTAAAACCCTTTTGACTACTGTTACTTTATAATACCTGGAAACTAGTATTTTGATGCCTCTACTTTTAATGTTCTTTCTATGGCTATAGGAAGACTCTTTGTACTTCCTTGTGAATTTCAATTTTTTTAATGTTTCTAGGAAAATGGCATGGATACTTTGACACGAATGGCACTGAAACACCTGGTTGCTCTGGGTAGCATGTACATTATAACGTGAATTCTTCCCATCCCTCTTCACAGTATGGCTTTTCTTCTGTCAGTGCTCTTCTACTTATTGCATTCCAAGAAGATGTGTGTTTGCTTTAATTTCCCTAATCATTAGTTATTTTTGATTATTTGTGAAATGAATTGTGTTCTTTGTATTTGAGGCTACAATTTGTTTGTAGTATGTAGTAATGAATTGATTAGGGCATGTTGCTTGTGTATCCTGCAAATTAAGTGATTTGTGAATTTGTTCTATAAGGTTGTCAATGTAGTTTAAATCTCTTATATACAATGCTGCACCCTCAGGAGAACTGCAACAACAATTAATTCTTCCTTTCTGATTTGGAAGGCTTTGCTTTCTCTTTCTGGATCAAATTCTATGGCCAGGACTTTGAGTACTGTATGTTGAAAAGAGTTGCAAGCCTTGTCTCCTTCCTGACCCTAGAAGCTAAGTTTGCAGCTTGTCACCCCCTGAGCACCATGTCAAGGATGGAGCTTGCCATGCTGTGCTGAGGTCCATTCCTCCTACTTATAGTTTATGAATGATTTTTATCCTGAAAAAATGGTGACCTTTTGAGCTTCTCAAAGCTGTTTTTCCAAATCTCTTCAGGGGTTAGCTGTGCCTTATGCTGTGAATGTGGTAAGCGACACAATAGTTTGTGCGAGAGGGAACATTCTTGCACCACTGAGATTGAGCCCAGTGTTGATCATGTTGGTTAATTTTGAACATGCTGGTGAATTAATGTGGCAAACATTTAGCTGAATACTTTTGTTTGTTAGGAATATTAGCCAACAGAGTGTTTTCATTTATTTTATTTTTAACACATTATTGTCTGGCTTCATTCTCAGGATAACTTGTCACTTAAAAGAAGTTGGTGGTGGTTTTTTCTCCAACTTGATAGAAGAATTGAAAAACAAGCAGTATTCATTGTTTATTATATACTGGATAAAATTCACCAGTGCACTTATTGTATCCCAGCTTTGTTGTTGTTATTAAGCAGCTGTGATGTTTACCCATTGCCTGTGCTCCTTATTGCTCTGTTCATCAGACTGTTTCCTTCTGATGCGTGTGGTTCGGGGACATCAATGGACACCACATATCCTTTAAGGGTCACATCTCATTTTATTTATGGATGCTACCATTTACCTTTGTATCTTCAAACTATCTCCATAATATATAATTTTGTGAGTAACTCCTTTCAGTTACTCAGTTTTTAATGCACACTCTTGCAGGGTTTGGTTACTGCTGGAGGAAACTGGGGCTGGTGAGGGCCTGGTCTCTTATTTAAGGCTTTGTACCCTGACTTGCCTGCAGTGCCTCCATCACCTGGCCTGCACCCTGTAAACACCTGTCCTGTTCCATAGCTATGGTGAGTCCACATGTGGCAGTTCAGATCTGCACCTGGGTGGAAAACATTCAGTCAATTTGAGCTCTGTAACAGACTGACCTTCTCATACAGAGCTCCCCTGAGTGAGATAGGGGGCCTCAGGCATGTAGGAAGGAGCTCTGGAACCATTTCAGCTCTCTCCTCTCCAGTGTGGAATGTGTGATGTTTTCCTTAGAACTCAGTGATGGATGAGGCAGCCTGGACTGGGCCTTTTTTAGCCATGGTTCCTGCTAGGTGCCATGGTGTCTTGCACCTCTGCCTGGACCATCTCTCTGCCTTCAGATCTCCACAGAGATCTGAGCAGATTCAGTCTTCCTCTACCAGGCTCTAACTATGCTGAGGATTCAGGTGAAATATCTGTGACCCTCAAATTCATCTTATATATATTTAGCCTGGAAATTCCACTTCTAAGTGTCATTATAAAAAATGAGATTGATAGACACCATATTCTCTTCTTAATCAGTTAAGGTGTGGACAGTTAGAAACCATGAATGTTCCACAGCACAGCTGCTGAGTTAATTATAAATGACAGCCACTGAAAATGCTGAAAGAAGGCCATGTCCTAGGCCATGTCTCTGATCTTTCCTGGGATTGAAGAAAGCTTGTGTCCTGGCTCTCTCTCCATGCAGTAGTGAAGAGACGCAGGCCTGCACAGCAGGTAAGGACAGGAGAGAGGAGCTGGTCAGTGGCAGACCTCTCATACTGGGAGGGATGCCTTTGTGGTTTTTCCATGTTCTTTTCCACTGCATTATTTATAGTGCTGTACTCAATATTACTTCTCTCCTGTTCAATTCACTTAAGAATAAATAGTTGGTATTTTCTTGAATAGGTGAGTGGAAATGGATGACTTAATTTTCTTTTGTCTGTAATGTAGGATAAGCATATAGAATAACATTCAAGCATCACTTTATACATATATAAAATGAGTCTTTTTATTCAGAAAGGCAACACATCATTCATGACTAACTTTTAAACCCCCAACACATAAAGCCATTTGGATCCCGCTGCGGTGGGTGTCCCTCCCTCCCTACTTGAGAAGTCACTGTGCTCATCTGTTTCTGATAGAGGGCACCCAGAACCTTCTTAAGAGTCTCTTTTTCCAGCAAGGAAGACTTGAATCTTCCTGTGCTCAGGCCAAGCAGGGAGTGTGCAGCATGCAGAGGAGCCCAGCATCTCCTGCCTTACACCCATTTCCACCACCTCATCCATGCTGCAGCCCTGCAGGACCAATAAGGCAGAGCCACCAGGGTGCAGCAAAGACTCTGCCACCTCAGCCCAAGGGGCCTCAACTCCTGGGTCCTGGCCTCAGCCTCCACCAGGCTCCAGGCTCTGCCCTGGGTTGGACTTACATATTGGGCCAGACACACCATCAGTGTCTTGGGGCTAAGTCCATTTTACACAGTGACACTTCCATTCCACAAATTTTGATCCTTTCCTTTGTAAATGAGGCTGAGGCATTGGAGACAAAACCCCACACATTAGCATTACTTTTTGTTTTTCTTTCTTTCCCCTTCTTCTTTTCTTCTTCCCCTTCTTCCCCTTCTTCTTCTTCTTCTTCTTCTTCTTCTTCTTCTTCTTCTTCTTCTTCTTCTTCTTCTTCTTCTTCTTCTTCTTCTTCTTCTTCTTCTTCTTCTTCTTTTTCTTCTTCTCCTCCTCCTCCTCTTCTTCCTCCTCCTCCTCCTTCTCCTCCTCCTCCTCCTCCTCCTCCTCCTCCTCCTCCTCCTCCTCCTCCTCCTTCTTCTTCTTCTTCTTCTTCTTCTTCTTCTTCTTCTTCTTCTTTTTCTTCTTCTCCTCCTCCTCCTCTTCTTCCTCCTCCTCCTCCTTCTCTCCTCCTCCTCCTCCTCCTCCTCCTCCTCCTCCTCCTCCTCCTCCTCCTCCTTCTTCTTCTTCTTCTTCTTCTTCTTCTTCTTCTTCTTCTTCTTCTTCTTCTTCTTCTTCTTCTTCTTCTTCTTCATCTTTGTCTTTGTCGTTCTCTTGGACTTCTCTGTCTTTGACTTCTTTGTCTTCTTCTTGGTTTCTTTGTTGCTTTAAGCACATATTTAGAGGCGCATTTTGCCAAATACCTTTCTTTGTCCTTTCACTTTCCAGTTAACTGAAGTTTTTACAGATCTCTACTGCGTGGCTTGGTAGAATGAGGGAAGTAAAGCAGAAATTGAACTTTGGGAAGCTTTTGTGCATTTTAGCATATCGAACAACAACACCTGACTCATGGCTTTTTACGTTGAAAATATGGACTTCAGCAGCAAGTGGGTCTGCCCCAGACAAAATGAGTTTCCTGTAGGTGTTTCAAACAATCTCATTTCCCCTCAACTTGTGAAGCACATGGTATAGGTTTCTTATGGCCAAACTTGAAAAATTATTTCCAGTACATGAAAGGCTGCCACTGGTCCTGAAATCATGATGGAACTTTCTTGTAAACATATAGTCTGATTCACACCCTGGCTGACAGAAGCTAAGAGAGTCATAGATGGCTGGCACAGATAGAAACACCTCAAGATTGTCAACTACCAGCCACAACAAGTAGGAACCATGTTGCTGAGCTTTCGTTGTTGGGTGATTGAATTGTGTGGTGGGTTTTGAACTAGGTTTTCTGAGGCAGCTCAGTAAATCTAGGTTGCTGCCTGGATCCCCCTTCCTGCAGTGCATTACAAACAGAAAGTCATGAACATATTTGAAAATTTTATTGCAGTTATGAAACCTGTATGCATGAGAGTCCACATTTCTGCCATAGCAGAAACACCCACGTGCATTACCACCATATCTTATAAAGGGTCAGCTTATTTATACAAAATGCAGAGTGACATTCTCAGCCTTGATTTTCCAGACTGGTGCATTTCTTGAAGGGAAGTCATTTCTTGAAGGGAAGTCATCAGTCATTCTTGAAGGGAAGCTAAATGATTTAGTTTGAGTAAACTTCAAGTATGTTGCTATGCTTCTGTGTGATGTCCTCACTGCCAGACATGAGGAAAGCAATGAGTGGGATCTGCTGGAGGTTTAGCTCCAGAGGGACACACTTTGCACAGCTGTGTCAGGCAGGGCTCTCCATCACCTGACTGGCCACCCTGGTATCCAAATACCCTTGTCCAAATCTGTGTCTGGCTTTGGGAGGTGCTGGATTGCAGTGGAGATGCCCAGTGTACTGGCTGGCCCTGGGGAAACCTTGTCATGCCATGAGTTTGTCATCCTTAGCCCTGCACCTCTGTGGCCCTGGGGCCAGGGCAAGGTTCCCCCCAGCTGCAGTGAACAGCATCATCCCGACAGCTCTCCTTGTGCATACTCTATGTGGAGGCTAGCAAGGATCCCAGCTCATTCCTGCTTCAAAGAGTACTGTGAATCAAACTCTTGAATATTTGTGCAGCATTCTGTGTGGGAGAAAACTCTATTCTTAGTCCTAGGAGTTCTGGGGAAGGCTGTTTAGAGCTCTGATGGGAGCTGCGAGATAGGGCTGTGCTCTGCCCTCCATGTCCTTCCCATTGTTGTTCAGCACCTGCCTTAAAATGTGTCAGTGGATGGGGTAACAGCACATTTCAGGGATGTGTGCCTGGATAAAACCAGTTTAGGAGGCTCAGTGTTTTATGTGCTTGTTGGCCATGTATGGTGATTCCCTTTGAGTTAGAAGAATTTGCCATTTCCTTCACAAAATGGACTCATGAAACCTCTTTGACACTTGTAATAAAAACCATCTATGTGACTATTATTGTAAAGAAAGGTTTCCTGTTTTGGTTTTTGCATTATTGTTGTTTTTCAAATGCAATGAATCAGCCCTTTGTAGCTCCCTTTGTATCACTGAAATCATGGAAAACATTTTCAAAAATGAAAAGATTAGTACATACACAATGGTCTCTACATTTTCCCTGTAGACTTTTTTCTCTAGGATTTTCTCTTCTTTCAAAGAGCAGTAGCAGCCAGTCTCCTCCAGAAATGTTTGGCCAAGCAGAATCTGATACACTGATATGAAAGACCCAGGGTACTCACTGGTAAGCGGTGGTAGTGTGGGCCACTGCAGCCCTTCCAGGGGGGAGAACTAGCAGTGTCTCCTGAGATCCATCCATGTTGGAACTTAGGACTCTGGGAAGCCAAGCCAGCACCTCTGCTCCCTGGTAAGCAGTGGTAGTGTGGCCCACTGCAGTCCTTCCAGGGGGGAGAACTAGCAGTGTCTCCTGAGATCCACGCCATGTTGGAACTTACGACTCTGGGAAGCCAAGCCAACACCTCCCCTCCCTGGTAAGCAGAGGCAGGGTGGCAGACTGCAGCCCTTCCAGGGGGAGAACTAGCAGTGTCTCCTGAAATCCATGCTATGTTGGAACTGAGGACGCTGTGAAAACAAATGACCATTCTGCCTCCTTGCTAACAATAGTGAACCTACTGCTACATGGCCTAGAGTCAAATATCCCACTTCCCCTATCCTCCTTCCCCTCCTCCTCCCCGCCCATTAGCAAGTGGGAACCAGAAATCTGAGCATCTCCTGGGAGATTGACCATAGCAAATAAGGGGGACTTCCTTCTACCATTTCTTTGAAGGCAAATATTTTTATTACTGTTTTGCTCTTTTCTGATTAATGGTACTGCTCTATTCAATATTCTGTTTTGATAAGTTCTATAGTGTTCTATATTTCATCTCATTTTGATATATGGGATTGAAAGAACAACTATTATAAAGATAACAAAATATACTGTGATACCTATGACTGTTGTTCCAGTAACCTGCTGTGAAGTTCTGTACCAATTTCACTGTACAATCTTAGTTGGCTTTATTCTGACTTGTTCTGTTGTATACTTTCAAAATAAAAATTAAAAAAAAGAAAAAGAAAGACCCAGGGTAGTAAATCACAGT